CCACCCACGTGGGCCACCGAGAAGCCGAACTTTCCCTTTTCCTTTCGGCGCCGGTACTGGGACGGGAGCTCAGGGCTGCGGGCAGCCCCTCGGCTGCTCTTCTTTAGGCTTGCGCTCTACCACTCGAGCCACAGCTCCAGTTTTGGCGTTTTGGGCACTCAGTTGGCGAGAAGAACATTGGCTGCCCCGGCCGTTTTCTTCGAACCGCGATGCTTAGGTCTCGGATTCCTGACTATAGCAAGGATTACAGGCGTGAGCCACTAGCGCCAGGCACCTTTCCGCGCCCCCATCCCGATCCCACCCGTCTCTAGGAGATGGTTTGGAACCGTGGGATTCTGATACACCTGAACCGACCCCATTCCCATTGTTGGGGTTAGAAGTGGTAGATTTCTATCGGCCTGCACCTAGAGCTCCGCTCGAGTTAACACGTGCTGGGGACCTAGGGACGGTTATTTAAATCTGAGCGCCGAGGGGAATGGAGGAAATGGCCTGGAGCTCAGGAAGGCGCCAGCTTCGGAACACCGGCTGCTAACCAGAGGTCCTGCTAGCACCGCGTGTGTCGTTCATAGATCTCCCGTTATTAGGAAGTTGTAATTCGTGCTGTCGCTGGTTTGAGTTGGGACCTGGTGAGGAGGGAGGAGTTTTACAAAACCCTTTCATCTCCGTGGTGCAGTTTAATCCAGTGGCATTTGGTGGGATTCCCTTCCCACCCTCGCACCGCTGCACCCTTGGAAAGCTAGTATGCGGCTGAGCCCAAAGCTTGAGTAGCTTCTACAGCCACTGATTGTCTTAACATAGTTTGGTGAAGAGTTTTGGAATCAGGTGGGCCCAGGTTGAACTCTGTTTTCCTCAGCTGTAAAAGGGGGATGACAGCACGTGAGGATATCGCGAAATCAAATGAAGCAGGGGATTAAACATCTAGTCATACTTGGTATGGAAGTGTGTATGCAGTCATTGCATCGTGTTTGGATAAGGACGTGTTCTGGCCTGGAATTCAGTTTGTAGCTGATTTTGTGGACCTGTGAACTCAAACGTACATGTTAATGTCAGTCTTTCTCATGGCCTCTTGATGCAATCAAGAGTTGAGGTAAACTAGACATAGAAAGAGGATGCTGTGCTGGGAAGGTGGCTCAGGGGTACAGCGATGACCTTGCATGCTTCAGGCCCTGGGTTCCATTCCTCAGCACCACATAAGCAGGGAAAAAAAGCCGGAAGTGGCGCTGTGGCTCAAGTGGTAGAATGCTAGCCTAGAGCTGAAGAGCTGATGGACAGCACCCAGGCCCAGAGTTCAGGCCCCACGACTGGACCCAAAAAAATAAAAATAAAAAAAGAAAGAGGATGCTGCTGGCCTGGCAGATTATTATTTTACAGTAAACATCATAAAGAGGAGTCTTAACAATAAAGACCGTGGGGTATATAACTCAGTGGTAGATTGCTTTCCTAGCATTCACATAAGTCCCTGGCTTTGATCCCCAGCACTACAAATAATTTTTAAAATAAAACACACATTGTAGGGCTGGGAATGTGGCTCAGTGGTAGAGCACTTGCCTTGCATGCTCGAGGCCCTGAGTTCGATTCCTCAACACCACATAAGAAAAAAGCTAGAAGTGGCGCAGTGGCTCAAGTGGTAGAGTGCTAGCCTTGAGCTGAAGAGCTGAGGGGTAGGGCCCAGGCCCAGAGTTCAGGCCCCACGACCAGACCCAAAACACACACACACACACACACACACACACACATTGTGATAAATGTATAAACCAGTAACAGTTGCTTATTAAGTCTTATATGTGCTATACTGTCATGCCGCTGGCAACATAGTAGTAGACAAGTTTACACTTACGATTACCACAAACAAGAGAAATGCCTTGTGCTAGGACTTTGAAAATGGCTACAGGTCCATGGGCTATGGGTGTTTTTCAGCTCGATCATAACTTTATGGAGCTACCTTTCCGTATGGCATCATTGTGTTAATGTAGCATGTGGCTGTATTTTTTTTGGGGGGGGTCTGGTCGTGGAGTTACAGTTCACATGGTAGAGTGCATTTCTTGAGCAGACAAAGCTCCTCAGTGGGTCCTGAGTTCCAGCCCAATAACAGAACTCAAAAAACCCCACAAAGTTTTGGACATAACAAATATAGCCATGGGCTGGGAAGGTGGCTCAGTGGTAGAGTGCTTGCCTTGCATGCATGAGGCCCTGGGTTGGATTCCTCAGCACCACGTAATTAGAGTAGTTAATTAGAGTAGTCTCTTGAGTTTGCCTGGTCTGGCTTTGAACCATGATCCACATATCTTAGCCTCATGAGTAGCAAAATTACAGATGTAAGCCACTGGCACTGGACTAAAATCTTGCATGTTTTGGATTGTCTTACAAAGGAAAACAAAACTGATAAGCTAGAGACTTAAATTGACTTACCAGCATTCATACATATATGTACACACATTTATTTGTTATAATTGTGTTTATAAGATAGTGTTTTTGTAGTTTTAAAATAGAGTCTAGGGCCAAGCATGCTGGTGCTACGGGTCTTATTTCAGTACCTGAGAAGTGAGGGCAGGAGGATTACAAGTTTAGCGCCAGGCACCAGAAGAGGGAGGAGAGAAAAAAGTGGGCTTGGGCGGAGAAGGTGGTTCAGTGGTAGAGTGCTTGCCTTGCGTGCATGAGGTCCTGGGTTTGATTCCTCAGTACCACATAAGCAGAAAAAGCTGGAAGTGGTGCTGTGGCTCAAGTAGTAGAGTGCTAGCCTTGAGCGGAAGAGCTGAGGAACAGTGCCCAGGCCCAGAGTTCAGGTCACATGACCAACAAAAGAGAGAGAGAGAAAGTAGGCTGGGAATGTAGTTCAGTGATAGAGCACTTAGCAGGTGCAGAATCCTAGCAAGTGTTAGTGTTGGTCCCCAACAATACTAAAAAAAAAATACATAAATGGACAAAATAATAGAGCCTATTTTTTATTGTTGACTATTATTTGAGTATATAAAACTGGGTGTACATCTTTGGTCCTAACCAGTTGGGAGGCTTAGAAAGAAGTATCTCCCCCCACAGTATAACCCCTGCTTTCACTATATTTGATGTCAGTATAACTTGTGGAGGAGATGGGGAAAATCCAGTTGTTTAAGGATACAGGTGGACCTGTTGCAACAATGAGAAGTACAAGTTATCATGTCCAAAACGAGCTTTACAATGTCGGTGCGGGGGGGGGGAAGGGGGGGAAGGAGAAGGATTGGGATTGGGGGGGAGGGGGGAGGCTGGGAAGGGATGTGAAGGGTAAACCAAAGGAGGAGGCTGCAATGCTTGGTAAGAAATGTACGCATTATCCTGCCCATGTAATTGTAACCCCTCTGTACAGTATGTTCACAAATAAAATTAAATTAAAAAAAAGAAGTATCTCTTTAACACAGGGTTCAAGACAACCTAGCAAGTCTCTTTAAAAGAATAAAAGACAAGGGAAGAATATAAGGGAATAAACTTAAAAGCAATGGAGGGGAAAAGAATGAAAAAGGATACATTCAAAGGCAAAAAGAAAGTGGTAGAACAAGGAAAAGTAGAAGGCACAAAAGAAGATTTGATCCAATTATATCACTGCTTAAAAATATAAAGCATTCGCTGGGCACTGGTGGCTTATGTCTGTAATCCTAGCTAGACAGGAGACTGAAAACTGAGGATTGCAGCTTGAAGCCAGCCTGAGCTGGCTTATTATTATTTTTTATTTTTGGGTCTGGTCGTGGGGCCTGAACTCTGGGCCTGGGCGCTGGCCCTCAGCTCTTCAGCTCAAAGCTAGTGCTCTACCACTTGAGCTAGCGCCACTTCTGGCTTTTTTTCTTTTTGCTTATGTGGTGCTGGGGAATTGAACCCAGGGCCTCATGCATGCAAGGCAAGCGCTCTACCACTGAGCCACCTTCCCAGCCCCTGGAAAAGTTCTTATCTCCAATTCACCACCTAAAAACCAGAAGTGGAGCTGGTGGTGCAGCTCTATCCTTGAGCAGAAAAGCTCAGGGACAGCACCCAGGCTCTGAGGTGAAGCCCCCAACTGACCTGAAGAAAGAAAGAAAGTGAAGGGAGAAAAAAGAGCGACACATTTTTTTCTTTTGTGGCTTAGTGGTAGAGTGCTTGCCTTGCAGGCATGAGACCCTAGGTTTGATTCTTCAGTACCATGTAAACAGAAAAAGCCAGAAGTGGCACTATGGCTCAAGCGGTAGAGTGCTAGCCTTGAGCACAGAGAGGCTCAGGGACAGTGCTCAGGACTGGCCAAAAAAAAAAAAAAAAAAGATCCAGCCAAGACCACGGATACTAGACAAACCTCTTACCTTTGAGCTACATCTCAAGTCCTGAAGTATCTAGGAATAAACCTAGAATAGATTGCTGGGCACCAGTGGCTCATGCTTGTAATACTAGCTGACTGAAATCTAATGATCACTGAAGTGAAGCCAGCACAGGCAGGAAAGTCTGTGAGACTCTTGCCTCTAATAAACCACCAAAGCCAGAAGTAGTGGGAGAGCACCAACCGTGAAAAGAATCGAAGGGGTAGTGGCAGCCCTAGGTTCAAGCCCAATACGCAATACCAATGCACTCAGAGCGCCAGCAAATACACTAAACCTCTGTGGAGAAGATAGTAGAAAGTGCAGTGAGACGAGGGTCCCGGCCCCCGCCCCCATGTGTTGAAAATAGCCAACAGCGAGGAGTGCGGAGATCCTCCTCCACTCCAGCCGGGCGCGCTGGCGCTGGCGCTGGCGCTGGCCCTGCCCGGAAGGATCCCGGCTGCCTGCCTGCAAACCGGATTTACCTGTCGCATCCGGGACCTTTTAGGTCAAAGGCGGTCACTTCCGCTGGCATCACCGCGCCACTTCCTGCTCCCCTCGGGTGGGCATTTTGTGTTGGGCTCCGGCCGGAGGTCACTATGGCCGGCGCGATGGCAGTCGCAAGGGTGAGTGTGCCCGGCGCGGGCCACGGTTCTTGCCGCGGGGTTGTCTGCGGCCGCCGGGCTCCGGATGGGGC